AAAATAAAATATAAATAAATAAAATAAACAAAATAAATAAATCTGGAAATATTATTATAAAAATAAAGTTAAAAATAAACAAATATTATATGTAATAAAATAAAGTAACAATAAAATTAAGCAAATAAAATAAATGTAAAAATCAAATGATATACAACTAAAGCTAAAAATAAAAATACAAATAAAAAAATAAAAATAAAACATAAATCTAAATCTAAAAATAGAATAACATAAAAAATTTGTCTAAAAATAAAGGTAAATAAACAAATATCATAAAATAAAAAACAAAACAAAATAAAGTATTAATTAATTAATTAATTAATTCAATATAAAAAATAAACAAATCTGAAAATAAAATAATATAAAAAATCCTTTTCAATAATTGTGATAATTATGTACAAATAATCGTGCTTATGACTTTTCCCATATCCGAGCAGCCCTAGGTCTTAAAAGTGAGAACACAAATTGAAATTCAAAGCAATGCTTAAATCCATGCACGCAGCGACTTGCTGGGAAATAAATCAATGTTTCTCCTCCTGTTTAGCAGCACGATCAATGGCACACAGAGCTGCCAGTCACGCTTTACATTTTACACCTTAAATGCAGCTTTCTGTGCTCATTTCACTGGTTACCGCAGTAAACGCTGATTTATATGTTGAAATAAAAGCAGAGCTGCAGCAGACGAAAACAAGAAAATCACTCGCATTTACCACGGTAAAGATGACACACAAACCATGACTGCACATACATGGAACAATAATAGAGGAAAAAATAATAAATAAATAAACACTAAACAATCAAAATCTGATAATAAAATGAAATAAAAGAAAAATGTACTTCTTAAATATTTAAAACACTACAAACTGAATCTCAAATAATTATTATTAATAATAATAATTGATAAAGGTGATAAAGGTGCAGAATTTGTCCCATTTATGAGCTTATTCGTCCTATTTTGACCGCTATGCAGTAAAATGCATTACCAAAAGCGGACCATATTGAGATTGATTTGAATACTATTTTGAAAGGGGCAGCATGGTGGCACTGTGGGTAGCACAATCAAATTACAGCAAGAAGGTTGCTGGTTCGAGCCCTGGCTGGGCTAGTAGTCATTTCTGTGTGGAGTCTGCATGCTTTCCCTGTGTTAGTGTGGGTGTCCTCCGGGTGCTCTGGTTTCCCCCACAGTGCGCTATTGGTGAATTTAAGAAATAAATTGGCCGTAGTGTATGTGAGTGAATGAAAGTGTATGGGTGTTTCCCAGTGATGGGTTGCAGCTGGAAGGGCATCAACTGCATTAAACGTATGGCGGATAAGTTGGCGGTTCATTCCGCTGTGGTGACCCCTGATTAATAAAGGGACTAAGCCGAAAAGAAAATTAATGAATTTCTTTTTTAACACATAGCACAACTCAAACACATGGGCACATTTTCAAGTACAGATGGCACAGGGTCACTGATGAGAGACACAGAGTTCATTTATTAATTTAAAATTTGCCTCCTAAAATTATTTCAAATTAATCTCACAAATAAAAATAAATAAATAAATAAAATAAAAAAAATAGTCTGCACAAAAGTACTGGATCTC